ATTGCATCACCTGAAAATAAAGTGGCAGTGCAGTCATTTTTCATGAGACATCTCGCAGCGCATTCAATGTGAGTTTGAGCAGGCATCCCAACAGATTGTGGCTCTATGATCGCAGACGCATCTCCAACACCGACAAAAACTTCTCCGAATGCACATTCCACAAAGAAGAGGAAAAGCAGCAGCGAAATTTCCATGTTATAGGCGCAAATTCCCTGAGGAAAAAAAACACATGGAAGTTTATGTTGAAACAACAACGTTTTCGAGGTTTTCAGGTAGATATTGCATAAAAGATTCCACTTTCGATTGAAATGATTTCACGTGCAGGCACACACAAAAAAAAAACCCTGAGAAAATTGAGTGATGAACAATCGAAACTAATCGTATTATGCTGACGATTGATTCGCACAGTTTATTTTTTCTCCCTCGAAATACCACTTCAATTTGTGCATCCCTAAAAATTTCACCGACATCAGGAAGAATATTCTTTCATACTTTACCGTATATTTTTCACTCAAACTTCACACATGAAAGTTAGTTACACGTTTTGGTTTGCGCTTGAGATTTTTTTTTTTTACAGTAGGAAATAACATATATTTTTGCTATGGCTTTTCTTTTGTTACAGCATAATTAAAATGTACTCCTTCCCTTAAGTTATACAAAAGTTATACTTGGTCCTGGCTGCAAACGGCCTATTGTACATAACTTTTATTTCATATTGAGTTTCTTTGTCAAGATGTAAGGATTACACTGTGTGTAAAAATACGCTGACTTTTTCGTTGTACAAGAATCCATTTGCATAAGTTTCATCGGAATTTTAAATCAATATTCATTATTTCATTCGATACTGCATTTTTTCACAAGAAATAATTATCGAATTGAAAATGATCTTGAAGTTTTATTCTCTTTCGCAGTAATGTGAAGATGCCTATACTCCTGTGAAATACTGGACAATTTTACATTCTTTCCACGGGGCTGGGCATGCAAATTCAAGTTTTACTTCAGCAGCCGTCTTTTTTGACCAAACGGTTAATTTGCCAAGGGAAAAAGGGTGTCAGTCAACACTTTTCAGGAGCTCTGCACATCAATGAATTTTTCATGTCCGTCGCTTCATGTGTGTAACTGCGGACGACGTCGTAAATTTGTGCTTTTCGTCCTCATTTTATTTCCAAAGATGGCGTGACTTTATTCAGGTGCACTTAATTGTAATTGATTAGTACTTTGAAACATGGAGCACGCGATTCTTTAAATAATGACGAGCGTTAATTTTTCGAGCAGCGCTTTTTGGCAAATAAAAATTGACCTGACATTTATATACATGACCCTGATAGTGACTTAATTAAAGGGAGAGTTTTGAGTCTCGCGTTTTAACATGAGCGAAGAAGGAATTGAGAATTTTATTAAAATATGTCAACCGCAAAATTTTCACCTTCATTTCCATGCAAGGTAAGGAATATTGAGAAAACAATCGAGCACAAATGATTCTGATGAGAATGCAATTTTTTCATCAATCCAATTTCTAATACGAAACAAGCGTATGACGACTAAAAAAGTTTTAGCATTGAATTTTCAACTATTTCCTGGAAAAGCATTCATTGTACTGTATTCCGATTGATACCGTAAATATGGATGTATTTTATAAAGAACTTCGTATACTAATATACCCGCACAACGTCCCCTTTTTGCACCCACTCAGTGCGGAGGTCATTTTTTTCACTTGTCATGAACACGTCATGGAATATGTGCCAATTTTGTTAGTGGATGATCATGTACACCTGAACAAGTTGGATCACGCAATAATATCATATTCATGTTCTACAACCAATAATGCTAGGAATATGACAAGGATAAACATGCCTTGATCAATACTGATACCTTTCATCAAGTTTGGTCGGCGAATTTTGGCGTGTTTTCAAGTTGGAAGTAACGTTCTCTGTTTCAGGTCAAAGTTCAAGAGGTATACGAACTCAATTGAAATACTGTCCTGCACAATTAAGATTGGAGTTCATTCGGCGAAGGACGAAGTTTTGGATGCATCAATTATGGGATTAATAACGCTGACTTGGAATTATTGGCATCAAATGGTTTGCCTCAAAATGTAGGATTTATTTCTTACAGACTTTAAGCTGCATTAAAAACATTTCAGATGCAAGAGAAATTTAAGTGCTGAGGCAGTTACCCACTCTCAAAGGGAATTTAATTTTAAAAGTGCAAAACTACATTATGCCTGCAGAAATAAGGGAAGCTGGAGCATCCTCGCCCCTTGGATGTGAAAAGAGGACTTTTCTATGGTCTCTGATCACAGGTTTCACAAATACAACAATCACACACACAATCAACAAATATAATCTTGCATTGTGCAGTAAAAACTTGCTTTCAAAAAGAAATAAAATCAGCAAAGAAATCATGCTTTGCCTAAAGTGCAATTCCCGATGCATGAACTTCCAAAACTAGTAACTCCATGAATTGTACACCTAGAAAATTCTAAAACAATTCAATATGAAGATAAAGATGTTTTTCAACTTTTCTTTAATCATATACAAATTGACCTGATTCACTGATCTTGAGATATTCTCACATTTCTAAACTTGACTTTTTTTTAGTGATAAGAATCTGGAAAACCATCATGCCACATTCTTATCTCACTGACTCACAAGATTTTGGTGCAAGCAGTGATTTTAAAAGCTTTGTTTCTGATGTGTGAATGAATTTATTTCTGCCACAGTTATTCAACAGCTATTTGAGTATACAGTATTCTCAGTTTAATTGCACAACTACATTCTAAATTTTTCATTTTCATGTTAAACAGGTTAGTTCATCACATTTCACCCCTATTTGGATTTAGAATTTTCTTTCTTACCTTTCTTTATTTTGATCACAACTTTTCTAGATTTTGCTGGGAAAGGACCTTGGAAGGTCTCCAAGTCACATTTTGTAGTAATATTCAACAGTAGGAGAAAATGTGTGACGCTATGCACTCTGTTGGGGAACCAGAACTGGGTATGTTAGCTAGGTCCCTGGACCCAAATTCTGGTCCTGTTTTCCTTTGCACATCCATCAAAAGTGGATGGTCTTCTGCAAAATGAATTTCTCCAGCCCAATCACAGGCAGGGGGAGAGTTGAGTGCTTTGGTCAGGCCAGCTGACCAAAGCATACAATAAAAATGTGTATACACCCAGTTGTGCCCCTTCAACAATGTAATCAGTACATTAACATCACTTGCATAAACATTCCTCAATCCATTTTACCCAGAACAGCCAATCAGTTCCCTTGCTTTCAATCCATTTTATTCTTGAATTTGTGTGCACAAATCATTATTCTTGCATGTCCTGTATTGAATATATGTGTTACATTTTGCTCATGATGTGATGCTTTGTTTCTATCATGATATTTGCCTTGTGTGGGCTGTGATTTTTGTTGCATCAATGAATGAATGAATGAACAGAAAACTTCATTTGCCGCTTTTCAGCATCAATGAACAAGCTGATCGTCTTATGTGATCATTTGTCTCCTTCTTCCACTGCCTTGAATGCTCTCCTTTGTTGGGAACCCTTACACTCAACGTACAATACTTTGAATCCTGATATGCATCTCAGTGAGAGGTTTGGGTCATAAAAAATTCAGTAATCTTGCTGGAGAAATAAATAAATGATGGGGGGGGGGATGAATTCAACCTTTATGACGGTCTTGGGGAAACAATCAAAACTTTCAGATTTTGGAATCACTATCATGCAATTTACTAATTTCCTAAATACATAGGGCTTTGCAATATTGTGTGTTGCAGATTTAATGGTAAATCTACTTTAGGTTATTTTAATTTTAAAGGGAATAAAAGTCAATACTTTGGTTAGCGCCTGAGGTGGTGCTGGCTTCTGGGGTCCCTCCAGATGCAGGGAAAGAGGGGGGGGGGATGCCCCCAAGTTTGAGAAAGAAGTGGCTGGCTAAGGCTGCCACCACCATGGTTTTTTTTCTTTCTTTTTGCTTGCTGTTGCTTTCATGTTGGTTCATGTTGCAGCTGGCAACACTGGGCGAGTTTGTGGGTTTTGTGCTTTGCTGATGCAATCTTGGCGTCTGCGCCAATTTCAGGCGTTTGCGCAAATTTCATTCTTCCAAGCGGTTTTTTCTTTTGTTTTATTTTTATTCAAAAGTGGAAATTTCACTTCATGTTTCCTCCAAGTTGGAGATATTGTGTTGTATTGTTTTCCACCATTTTTGTGCCCAAGTTTTCCCATTACCTGGATTTGCAGAAATGCATTGAGTCTTGAATTAGAAGCCTACTGGGAAGCTTGTCTTGATTGTTTTATTTTCTGCCCTGCCTCCACACTAATTTTTGTTGATAGGCGTTAATATCAGTGATTCTCTTACTTTAGAATTTGGTGAAGTTTTTTGATTTGCAATTTAAAATCTGCAACAATTGTGAATCATGCCTCACCCAGTGCTATGAACTATAGCAATCTAAAAACAGTATTAATGACGTGCAAATAATTGGGCATATCATAGAAAATTAAAAACCTTTTTAACCAGAAGAAGAAAAAAACGTGGATCCAACCAAGATCTCTCTCAGAGAAAATTCATCAAATATTCAACTAGTCATCTTTAAGTAAAATGTAAATCCATTTTTAGTACATGTCCAGCACCAGTACGACATTGCGTTCATATTCTTGATTTCTTCGCCAAAGATATTTTGCACAGTGTATCAAGAAAATTTCATGATATACACCTTGCAAACATGAAAGATAAAACTGTGAGGAAAGAAGCAGAAAATTGGCCTTGTTTTTTCAATGAATCACAGTAATTTTATGGTGACATTTTTAAAAATGTATGAACAGCTCAATTTGGTCAAGACATTTCGAAATTCAGGGGTACAACATTTTTCAATTTTTCTACCACTTTTGCAGAAGTGTACCTATCTTGTGGCATTGTCAAGATGTTGGGACATATTTTTTCAAAATGTTTACATGTGTTCATGTAAAATTGTGCGCAAGTCGGGGCATACGCATTCGGGGTTCCGCAGTATACTGTATTTCAGTTTAGAAGACGTGTATTTGGATATTTTATTCCCAGAATAACACACATTACACAGCACACCATAAAATATAAATAAATTGAAAAATCATAGTAGAACCTCTTCTGCTGAGAAGAGGGCATTTAAATTTTTTTGAATGCAAGAGGGGGTTTTGGCGTTGTGATTCAAAATTCCGGAAATAGGATTCGAATGCAAGTCTGAACCATCTAAGGCAGTCCGCAGATAAATCCGAGTTGATTCATTGCTACGTCGTCCCACAAGTATGTTGCTTTATCTGCAGAATATCTAACGGCCAAAAAGTTAGTTGATCCTGTTCCACCGGGTTCTCCGGTGAACCAAAACTGCGAATCCGGCTGGCTACCCTTCAGACTGGGTTGGACATTTTCTGGAATACGGAATGGGAAAAAAGGAATTTTACCCACATCATCATCATCATCATATGCGTGAAAGATGTGAGAAAGGCATTACTGTATATATATGCAGAAGGGATATCGTTATACAAACCTCCGCACATGGACCATGAACCATTCGACAGGCGGGTCCCACAAGCATGAACACTCATACTGGTCGTCCCCAGGACCAGTGACAAAGCATTGGTCAAAGTGGGCAACCCGGTTGGGCCGTAGGTTGGTGCCAAAGTACCACCATCGCGTTGACAGAACCACTCGGCCGACATCTGGCCAGTGGGGTTCACTTTCGGATACAAGGAGATGCGAAACCAGCGTTTGGTTGATGGGATCTGAAAGTAAGGTGGACTGGCTTCACACACGTAGGACTTGATCAGAGTGGATGAACAATCCACGGCGTTCCAAAACGGGGCTCCAGTGTTGGTGTCTGTGTTGAGTGCGATGCAGTGAGAGGCAGTGACTGGGTTTGGGATTGATGATGAGGTGGACCAAGCCTGTTTCGGGTCACTGGCATCTGGCACCAGCTTCAACTCTCCAGAGTCTGTTGATACCAGACAAATAATGACAAAGCCAGTGATACCCTTGTTTTTGAGTTAAAATAACATTTTTTACAGAACAGAACTATACCAACAATTCTTCATGGGAAACAAAAAATATTTGAGCAGTCCTCTGTTATACTACTTCACCATCACTAAATTACATAGAATCCCTGTGTAAACAAGTTGGCCTGTTCTAAGATGCATAATATATATATGCACTTGCTGAGAAAACATTTGTGATTAAAAAACTGTTTGAGAAAGAAGGTGCAGAAACTGAAGTATTCTTGAGACAGTGAATGATGCCATGACCTCAATACCTAAGAAACCAAATATTAGGTTAATTTTACCATCACTGGTGAGGAGGCTGGTAAACGTCCTGCTTTTCTATAAGGTTTGGTACAGTGATCATTACAAGAAAAGTGAGGTTTCACAGAGCAAACTTTTAAAGATAACATCTAAATCTTTCATTAAAAATGAATTCAAATTGATTGCAGTTCAAACATCTACTGTATAAACAGCACTCAACTTTTGCTCAACAATTCCAATATCCATATCAATTCTGTCACAAATTTTGAGTTTCATGTATACTGAAAAATCTGACAATCGTTAGGTTTATATCATATAGTCCTCTAAATAAAGCAACCGACACCTATATGTTAATTATTCAATAGGAATGTAATATTTATTGTACACAATTTACAAAACTGGAAACAAAATTGAATCTCACATTCAACCATCAAGGTTCCTGCTGCAGTTCCTTTTCCAATGGTCCAGGCACTAGTGACTCCAACTGCTTGCATCAACTTGGCAATTTTTTCTGCTCTTTTTTTGGGATAAGGCAGTGCAAGGGAAGTGCCTTGTGAAGCTTGACATGCAAGTAATGCGTCACGTTGACTCATTCCAGAAACACTGGTCACTATTTTGTAGTACCTTCCATCTTCAGCCTGAGTGAATTCAGGTGGGATCTCCTGGGATTTTGGCTGGTCTGCATGAAGCAAGTGGAAAGAAAAGCACAATTTGACCCATAGACAGATGCAGCACATCTCATACAATATTAAAAAATAGCATTCGATTGTGTCTGAAAAAGTCAAAATGTAACAACTTCAAAATTTGACCCTAATCCTTTGATGGATATTAGGGTCAGATTTTGAAGTTGCGGGGTGCAACCTGTATTGAACTTCAAATAACTTGTTTGCTGAACAGCAAGAAACTTTAAATTTAATTCATTAAAAACAGGAATCTATTTTAAATTATGTATAGTCCTGCAACATGATGGGATTCTGCTATACTGTATGAGTAACCAACAAAACCCTCAGTTCCTCATCTGTTAATTGAGAAAAATTAGAATTGTTATTAGCACCATTGAGGATTGGGTTAGAGAATAGTACCGTATTTACTTGAGTACCACGTGTACCTTTTTTCCCAAATTTTAGAAGAAAAAAAGGGGTGCGCGTCATAAGTGAGTACAAAATTTTCAAGAAGTTTTAGGAAGTTATGTTAGCATTATACTTAATTATAATGGAGAAATTTGGAACAAATATAAGAAGAAAACATTTTTGTATTGAAAAAGGTGAAAATTCATCAGATTTTTGTTCAATTCATACCTAAAGTAAATTTTTTGTTTTTATTTTTGAAATTTTATGGTTTTAGATTCACTAAAAATTCGGGTGCGCGTCTTACTTGGGGATAACATTTTTGCAAAATTTTCAACTGAAAAACCTTTGTGCGCACCTTTCTTGAGGGCGCGTGGTACTCAAATAAATACAGTATTTTAGAAATCTGTTACAGCCAATTTGTTTGTGAAAAAAATGCTTGTTGCACAAATAAATAATTTTTGGTGCTTGCACTTTATTCAACATGCTTTTTGAATCATACTTGAGGCTTGAACAGTTGAGAAGAACCAGTGTTAAGCAAATCATTATTTCTCACTTGGCTCCACTGCGCTTGTTATAATGGCTTACTATGTTCATGATAATGCAAATGTACTCACAGTAGAAAAGATTGGCAGATGGTTTTGCAGTCCAATAAAATTCGCCAGGTGTAGGTAATTTGCACAAAATTTGACCTTTTGCCATTTCTTCTGTACTGTATCCCCGACATCTGCCCATATTTTGCTGCTCACACATCCTGGCACATTCTGACAGTGTGGGCAACACTATGCTCAACCCTGGATTTTCTACCTCAGTATCAAAGTCTATTTGCCCGTGACTGTTTGTGTATATTAGGCAAATTCCAGACGACGTAGTATCTTCACATGTGCTCACACTATTCCAAGCAAATTTTCCAGCAGCAGTCAATATCATTACGTAGCAATCATCTGGCTGAATAATGGTGGGCAATTGGTTTCCATACCACGATTGGTCTGGATCTGCCAGTGATGGCGTTATGGTATCTCCCGCTGTAAGATGTAGAAAGAACGGATAAATTGATATGGTTTCCTTATACGGAATTAAACATTTTACTGAAAGCATTTCATTAGAAAAATAGTTCGTTGTTTGCGATTTGCATTATAGGATTTGTTTGCTGGGAATCTTGATTCAATTAAATCCATGTCCATTGATGCCAAGGGAATAATAACAGTCCTCCAAGATAAAAAAAAATCAATTAAATTTCAAGGCAGAAGAAAACATATTTTTCGTGGCGTAGAACCATAGAAAAATGCTAAAATTTACCTCCTTGTTTCACGTATTTCTGAATGCCAGTCTAATTTCCCTACAAACAGTGTATTGTAGATATTTTCCCCACCTTCACTCAAAGATTTTTTCCCTCCAAAGTTTCTAACGTGATTTTCATCCAGAGAATTTGAGCAATTTCTTTGGGGGTATGAATATTGGGGGTATCAATTCAAAGATATAAAAGGGGAAACTTTTTTCAATACCTGAACCTGGGGGTACAGAGACACAGCAAGGTAAGTGACACCGCAGCAAAACCATTTTTCAATTTTTCTGAGAAATATCTTCATTCAATTTAAGATGTTTTTAATCAAGCAATCCTTCTCATACATAATTTTATCCAATGTCACAGAAAAAATTTCCAATTGGTTAATATATATATATATATAGTCAAAGTCTGGAAATGTTTAACTTTTTTTTCTTTTTGCATAGAAACATTTTGGAGCATTGGAAAACACTTTTTGAAATGAGTGCACTTTCTCAACCTAAAGCAATTGGAATTCAATTGGTGCCTAAGACGGATCCTGCCAATTTTTTGTGTTTTACTGAACTTGAGATTTCTGGACTTGGGTCATACAGCTCAGTTGGGACTTTTGTGACCTTCAGTCAAGCCAAATGCTCTATTCTGCAAAGAAAAGCTCCTCTCTGGTCTGTGGGTTTACAACCATAAAACAATTGGATAATGCATAAATAATGTAACATGTCCTTCACACTGTTTAAGCGACATCTATGCAGAAATACGAAAACGCTGCTCATAACAAAGAGCCCTTACTTGCAGGTATGAGCAGCTTTCCCTCATGATATCCAAGACCAGCTAATGAAGTCCACCAGCTAGAAATTGAAGCAGGGTATGCCTTGAGAAACATGGCCTCTACTGCTGCTGCCATCTTGCGGGGATACACTGGAGCAATGACTCCAAAGAAAAAATTGCATTTATCCCTGTGTTCAGTAGGAGTCAGAAGCTCGTTGGACGAGGCAGGCGTCACCTTGTAAAAATTTCCATCTGTTGCCAAGTGAACATCACTCGGGTAAGGCAGAGGACGTTCTGAAAAAAATAATAGGACGTACACTTTTTAGTCCACATCAGAAGCTTGTCAGTCCATGATTTATTTTAGAAAATTCTCTTGCGGGTAATTGCATCTTTCAAAATGATCCACAATGGAAACACTGCATTGTATTGTCATCGAATTTGTAGTTAGGATCAATTAAAGGGTTGATCATCATCAACAAATGAGATTTTAATGTACTGTGCTCTGAAAAATAAAAAAATACTATTTTCAGTTCTTTCTACGAATCACCCATAAAGTTTTGTAAACATTGATGAATGTTTATATGTGGTGAGGACCATTTTAAAAGTATTTTGAAGATTATAAGTCATACAGGGAAATATGATAGAAAATACGCAATATTTATTCAAACGATCTGGATGAATTGTGTATCATTCTTACCAATGAAAGAACATGCAAAATAAAATACGCTTTTCAGTCCACATTTTTTTTAAATAGAAAATTTGCTTCCAAGTAATTTCATCTTCCAAATAATATCTACTGATGAAAATATTGTCATCAAATTTTTAATTACAGGATAAAATAATGGAACAACCATCAGACATGAAGATTTTGTTGTACAGTACTGTACATGTAGGGCCTCGCTATTGATAAATATAAAATTAATAGTATGCTGCCCTGCTCTGATGAAATCAACAATTATATATATTTTTTAATTTTAATGATGAGAGCTTATATTTGATGAGGACCAGTTTAAAACTTTTTTTAAGATTCAAAGTCATACTGAGAAATATGATAGTACAATACTGTACATTCAATCAATCTGGAAAAAATTGGGATTCAAATTACCAAAGTGCGGGTTGATCATCAAGGATGACTACTTTAAATATACATTTTATAGAAATTTATCTTTCAATGAAGTTTGTTTATAGAAGTGAAATCTGATTTTTTTGAGCATCTAAAATTTAAATCCCCGTCAATTAAATATGTACACTGCAATTTAAACAAAAACGAACCCATTTATCATGTTTTAGAAGACCTTTACTGTGATGAGCACTGGTTCAAAACATTTAAAAAAAAATTGAAAGCATCCAGATTATTGTGATGAGGAATAAATCATTATATAACACGCGAGCAAACGGAATCAAATGCAGATTCATCCTCACCGAAGTACAAGGTTGTCTCATTGTTTTCTTTCCAGAAAGTATCATACGGATCAGGGATTCTGCACAATAAGCCCTTTTTCTGCAAGGATTCAGTCGGTGTCACACTGAATGATATGCATTCTTCTGTTCGTCCGCATTCAAGAGCACAGTCTCCAGCTGAAGTGACAATTATGTCTTTGACAGAGGTGAGGAATTGCCCTGTTTGGGTTTGCTGCTCGAACCCATTCAGGCGATCTGGTGATTGATGACCACAAATTTAAATTCCAAATTGCGTCAATCAGACATTCAGTAAATGTTTTTAAAAAAAAGGATAAAAGACATGAAGAAATTAACTCAAATACACTCATCAATAAGCTTTTGTATTCCACTTTTGTAAGCGACTGATTATTCCTCTTACATTTTGATGACATCATCAATGTTCCAGTGATGCTGCCTGTATTCTGTTTGGCAGAAGATGAAGAAGATGCTACGTTGTCGAGAAGAGCGCATTCCGAAGAATTCTCTGCAAAATAAATAAAAAATACCACGGCTCTAAGAAAAGATTTGTACATCTTTGAATCTTCATTTTGAAAAAAAGGCTTGTTGAGAACATGTTTGAGTTGAGCACTTTTTTCACATTACAGTCCAGAAAGTTATCTTTCTGGATCAAGTTCTCAAAAAATAATCTTGCCATTCTCCTTAATTTAAATACTTCTCCCGTAAAACGTTTCTGAATTTTTTGGATTGTTATTACAGGGGTTCGAGAACGGCTCTGGAAATTCTAATTTTTGTCTTAAAGTCATTAATTTTTCCTGATTTATAATTAACGGTTGATACTTTTGATTTGACGAATTCATTTTGGATGCGTCAATTGCATCACCCTTGAATATTATCGTCGACGTCTTTTATGGGGGATAAATAATTTTACGTTACTGAAGATACAGTATTTCATCTTCGATTTACTTGAAATATCTTCTGCGCATTTCCCGTGCGTAAAAAAATTCCCGCGAGAAAATGTTTTGGAAATCTCCTTCAAATATAGACTTACATTTTCAACAATGGGTCTCAAAATTTCAAGTTTCGACTTAGAGTCATTCAATTTTTTCCTGAATTTGAATTATCGGTTAATACTTTTGATTCAACGAGTTCATTTTGAACGTGTCAAATAGCATCACCCTAAAATAGTCTTCTTCAGGACTTTTATGAGTGATATCAAATTTTCATTAAGTCCAGAAATGTGTTATCTTCTATTTAATTTTAGGAACCTTGTCATTTTCCGTAGCATAAAACGATGCCCGCGGAAAACGTATCTTAAAAAATGTCTTTGACTTGGACTCGAAGAGTCTCAACAATGGCTCTCAAAATTCCAAGTTTTGGCATGATATATCACTCATATTTTTCCCTGTTACCCAAGTTCCGATTGAAAGTCCTGATTTTAAATAGAATTCATTTTGATAACATGCAAACTTATCACCTGAAACTAAAATTGCAGTGCAATCATTCCTCATCACACATTTTGCAGCACATTCGACATGGGTTCGAACAGGTATGACTGCTGCAGATTGCGGGTCTACGATTGTAGACTTATCTCCAACACCGACAAAAATGTCTCCGAAGGTGCATTCCACAAAGAGGAGGAAAAATAATAGCGACAACTCCATGTTATGGACGAAACTTCGCTGAGGAAAAAACAAGCATGGAAGTTGATGTTAAACGACGTTTTCGGGGTTTTCAAGATAATGCAGAATAGATTCGAAATTTGATTGAAATGATTTCATGTGCAGGCACACAAAAAAAAACTGAGAAAATCGAGCGATGAATAATCTGAACTAATCGTATGCTGATGATAGATTTGCACAGTTATTCTTTCCCCCGAAGTAGCACTTAATTTATACATGGGCGAAAATTGCACTGACATCAGGAGCACTTCTCATTCATACTTCACTTGACCCTTTTCACTATAAATTCACAGATGAAATAAAGTCAACAGTTTTTTTTTGCGCTTGACAGATTTCTTTCACAGTACGAAATAACATGCATTTTCGTTGTGACTTTTCTTTTGTTACAACACACTTGAAAGATATTCATTCCCTCGTATTGTACGCATCAGTATATACTCAGAAATGCGTAAAAATACTCTGACGATTTCGGTACAAGTAGAGTAATAATTTGCTGAGCTTTCGTCATCAACGTTTAAAACCGATGTAATCAAAATTGATATTGTACATTGAAACGCTGTTGAAGATGTATTTTTTCGCGATAACGTGAAGAGACTCTTCCCTGCGAAATACTGAACAATTTTATACTCTTTCCAGCAAGGGGCTGAGCATGCAATTTTAGTTATAATTCAACTGTTTTTTTACGAGCGAAAGGTTAATTTGGCAAAGGGAAAAAGGGGGTCAGTCAACCATGTTATTTTGGAGCTTAGCACATCCATAAATTTGTCATGTGTCGTTTTCAGTGTATAAGTTCGTAATAAGTCCTTTCGTGCTTTTCGTCCCCACATTTTCTTTCCAGAGATGGCGTGACTTTATTCAAGTAAACTTAATTGCAATTGATAAGTACTGTACTTTGAAACATAGAGCACGCGATTGTTTAAATAATTACGCGCGTTAATTTTTTGAGCAGGGCTTTTTGGCGAATAAAAATTGACCTGACATTTTTATACATGATCCTGACAGTAACTTAATTAAAGGGGAGTTTTGAGTCGCGTTATTATAACTTAAACAAAGCTGGAATTTAAAATATTATTAAAATATGTCAACTGCAAAAATTGCATCTTTATTTCAATGGAAGGTGTATTTGGAACTTAACATGCCTGTTCAATGCATGCCTCATTAGTCAAGGCATGAGTAAATTGGATGGAAAACATCACCCAAGGACATTAAGTAGTAGAAATAGAGAACCACAGAAAAACTGCAAAACTAGAACTTTTGTTTTCTGAGATTCTGTCCACAGCACGTGTCAGGGACCCCTATACAGTATAGAGGTTGCCCAGTAAAATCAAACTTGAAGGAACACCCAGGTACACACAAAACTGAAGAATCCAACCAAAACTTACCGTGATGACCATTGGGAAACCTGGAAAAAAACCAGACATAAAAACTGGTCAACTCAGGAAACTCCTCATCTGCCAAAAACTAGAGAAATCACCACTGCTTCCCAAGCTTTGCTGTAATTTGGAGGATGGTTTGTTTTCTGCTGAAATTGGGATTTGTCATTCAGTTGTTTAAGGAGACTTTGTCTTGGCAGCAAATGGCCTAGTGTGCATTTCATTTATTTATTTTCCTGGATCAGAACAATCCCTGACAGCATGGTCTTTGACTTGAGTTTTTCTGGCCAATCCTCAGACTCTAAAAATGGTTTGATCTAGATTCAGAGTACTGTACTGTACTTCATTAAGGAACTACTCTGCCTTGATCATGATACTGTATTATTCATTATAATCTATAATCTCAGTAAATTAATAAAAATCCTCCTTAATTCCCTACTTGTTTCAGTGTGTCTTGAGCTGTCAGTGAGAGCAGTTGTGCGCCCAAAACTCTTAACTCTTGCAGATGGGTTTTTGGTGTTGTATATTTCTGGGTCTTCTCACTTTGTTCTAAAAATGTAAAACCTTGGTGGGACAATTGAAATATACCTAGAAGGTAAATTGGGGATTCTCCCAAGGATTACTGGCCCTTTGTAACTGAAATGGGTACAAAAAGGTGGAATCCGGAAATAAAACACTTCACTCAGCTGTGGGGTTCAGTTGGGGATCTTGTTTACAAGATATATATGGAAAAGATCAAGATATATTTTTTTAACTCTATGATTAATTGATTCACAGAACACAGCACACAATAAGAATATCAGATAACCATTGAAATAATAATTGGCAGTGGACTGAGAGAGACTCCAGAATAAAGACTATTTAAGAATGTTGCAAGAGTGACCTTCTATGGTTTTCACACTCTCTCTCTCTCTCTCTTCCATGATCTGTAGAAAACATGAGAAAGGTCTCCAACGTTCTGCATAGATTTTGTGGTACAGTACTTTAATGTACCAAATTATTCTGCCACACCCATGTCCTAGGCTGATTATGTGTTTCCTTTGTCTAACTAGTTGTTTGATCCACTGTAATCTCTATTGATCCTACTTTAAGAGTCAGTTTTCCTTCATAAAAGGTAAGGAATATTGAGGAAATAATAAGGGACAATTGATTCTGATGAGAATGCAATTTTTTCATCAATCTAATTGTTAGTTTTATTTTAAGAAAGTATCAACACTAAAAATTCATCCGCATTGAACTTACAACTAGTTTTTGAGAAGCATTCATTGTTTTCTGATTGAGAACTTCCTTATATATACCCACATAACGTCCCCTTTTTTCAATAATACCCCAGCGCGGAGGTCATTTTCTTTTCACTTGTCATGAACACGTCATGGAACATGTGCCAATTTTGTTAGTGGATGATCATGTACATTTGAACAAGTTGGATCACGCGATATTGTCAATTGCATGTTTTAAAACCGACCCTGCTGAGTATATTATACCTGGATAAACACGCCTTTGATCAATACTGAGACCCTCATCAAGTTTGTTCTATGTATTTTTGAGCGTTTTCGAGTTGGAAGTAACCTTTTCCATTTCAGGTCAAAGATTAAAAGGTACGAAATTAATTTAAATAATGTCCTTCACAATTTAAATTCGATTTAATTTGGCGAAGGACGAAGTTATATATGTTTGAAATGGGATAATAACTTTGACTTGGAATTATTTGCTTCAAACGGTGCGCCTTAAAATTTAAAAGTTGTTCAACTGCTTTTTGAGTACAGTACATTCTCAATTTAAGTGCACGACTCGAATGCAAATTTTTCATTTTCATATGAGTCAGATTAGTTTAATTACATTTTATTCCTATTTTTTTTAAGGATTTTCTTCCTCAACCTGCTTTTTAATTTTGATCTCAACTTTTGTAGATGTTCCTGGAAAAGGACCTTGGAGGGACTCCAAGTCACATTTTGTAGCAATATTTAACAGGAGGAGAACATGTGTGACTGCATGTACTGTATTTTGAATCATAATACGTATTTCAGTCAGAGCTTTGGGTAAGAAAATGTATTGAATATTCCTGCTGAAGAAAGACGTAAATAATGGGGGAAAATGAATTTAATCGTTATGACGGTCTTAGGAATCAATTGAAACTTTTTGATTTTGGCATAACTATCGCGTGATTTATTCATTTGCAAAACTCGTAAGGTTGTCCAATATTGTGAATCATGTGTCACCCAGTTCTCTGAACTACAATGATCTAAAAGAGTATTAATGACGCGCAAATAATTGTGGATAACAAAATATCAACATTTTTTTTAACCAAAAAAAAAAGTCGATTCAACCAAGATCCTTCTCTGAGAAAATTCTTCGAATAGTCCGAAGAATTGTCCCACAATGAAGCAAATCCCAAAGCACCTGAACAAAATCTTTCTCATACTTTTTTATGCACTGCTTAGAACTTGGATTGACATGGTTGTTAAACTGCAATTACTGTAACTTTGAAAATTGATTCATTATGAACCTGAATCTACTTTAACATGGTATGCATCACTGTTCCCAACCTTTTTGGGCCTGTGGACCCACAGAATTTCATAAAATTTTTTGCAGACCAGCAAATTTCCAAAACAGTTTCTGCAGGCTGGCAAAGTTTCATAAAAATTTTGCAGACTCAATTTTTTTTGCTTGAGTGACTTTATGGTGGGTATTTCAAAATTGTTTGCTTTTTAAATTAAAATTAATAAAATCATTAAGAAGGGTTTCTCAGAATGAGGAATTAACATAATTTATTTCATCAGGGGATATGTGTTTGGAGTGATATCAGGAGAAAAAGCCGCACTCATTTTTCATGAGCAAATTTTCACTGCCATTGTCTTGCAGAATTTTCAGATAAAGATACTGCAAAATCCCTCATTGCTGCTTTTGATAAATTTATCAGGATGGAGAAAATTTCCCACAGACTGGCAAAAATCTTCTGCAGACTGGCGCTGGTCTGCAGACCATGGGTTGGGAAACACTGGGATACACTATTCTGATGGGATTCTGCTATCATACAGAGTAACCAACAAAAACTTCAGTTTGAATTAAGCTTGTCATAGTGGTTTATTTGCATCATAACACAATATTTCCCCAGTGCATCAAACAATAAACTGTGTGTCGTCAAAAACGTGCTTGTGCATGCGACCAAATTTCGCAACCCCAAAAATACCTTTCAAAAGAATGCACACATTTTCTTCGAATTGAAGCCAAATTGGAAAGGAAAAATTCAGGGTAGTCTCAAAGTCCGCAAATGAATCCTTGTTGTGTAGGGTAAACGTCTTTCCATCCAAAACCAGCTCTAGAAGATGAGTAAGTTATTGCAATGAAGTTTTCGCGGGTCCCACCATTAGGTTCACTTGGATTCCAAAATTGTAGATCCTTTTGGGTTGACGAAAGATTTGAAGAGATGGTAGCTGAAACATTTTAACGGAAATTTATCATGATTTGAGGTACTGTACATTTCAACCCTCAAGCAGCAACACATTTGTATTCTCTTATATGCCCCCAGTGGGGAAAATGGTGCACACTTGGGATATGTATGTATTTCCACACAGTGACCCTACTGCACACCTGAAGTCATAGCACCAAAATATTTTCACAAATGTGTCAGGATGACAATTAAGTTACAAAATTCTAAGAGAGAAAATCTTTGATGAAGGCAATCTACATTACACTGCTCGTTGACAAATTTCAACTGATATCTAGAAAAATGTGAGATGGGGCGGTACATGATAGAATTTTTCTATGGTTCTACTCAACCAAAAATATGTTTTTTGCTTATACCGCCCCGAGTAGGGAAATTGGTGCACACTGGGGATTTGTTTGTAATTCTACACAGTGACCCTGCTGCGCACCTGAAGTGTACCAAAATTCTTCTTCTGCACATGCATATCCCTCATGTGCACCACTTGTGTGTTCACACCAGGATTACTCAGGGTCGCATTTATAACAAATAAGTTACACCAAGGTTACAGTTGGTGCATTTGTGTGATACTCCTGCTAAGTCACATGTGTGCACCAACTGTAGCCCTGGAATGGTAGCAAAATTTTATCTACAGAGGTGCATGCTTGTAACCCTAGAATAGACCATGTGCACCAGTTTTGACCCCAGTGTTCACCAGTTGTGGGGTCACACAAAGAATAGCTCCCCACTCCGGACGGTGATGCCATGATATTTTTGTTATTTTTAAAAGCAGCATCACCAAAAATCCAATATGAGATGAGTGAAGAACTTGAAAATGTATCACCACATCAGGGCTTTATAATTGTTTTGCCTGGGCTAATTAGCTTTATCTGAATGTTAGAATGGCAAAAAGTCACACTATGACAAACTCCCTATTCAACCAACCTGAAAATTTTAAAAATGCTGTGATTTTCCTGTGTGAATATGGATATTCATCCTAAATTGGCTCTTCTGATATCTGGAACTAAATACAGTACACTATGATTTTGTCTGGAAAACACACATGCTATCATATATTTGCTTATACAAGCATTATAATTGTTCTTCCCCTAGTTCAAATAGCTTCATCTGAAGGTTAGAATGAAAAAAAGGTAGGCTATGACAAGCTCCCAATTTTCACCACATAAAAATTTGAAAAATCAAGTAATTTCCTCGAAATTTTTTTCGAATTTACAGCGAACAAAATCTGAAAGAAATTGTGTTTGTCAGTCAAAGCCTTACTGTACTAACTTCCACACATGGACCAGAACCCTTCTGCATTCACATCATTCCCACAAGCATGGATTTCTGTACTTGTGTTCCCCAAGACCAATGACAAAGCATTGGTCAGTGTTGGCAAACCTGTTGGACCCTGGGTTGAGGCCAGGGAACCACCATGGCGCAGACAGAACCACTCTGCTGACATGGCACCTTTGGGCTTCACTTTGGGATACAAGGAGATGCGGAACCAACGTTTTGTGGATGGGATCTGGAAGTAAGGTGGACTGGCTTCACACACATAAGATGAGACCAGGGTGGATGAACACTTCATGGCACTCCAAAATGGTACTCCAGTGCTGGTGTTTATGTTGAGTGTGATGCAATCAGAGGCAGTGACTGCTGGGTTTGGGATTGAGGGGGGCCAGGCTTGGTTTGGGTCACTTGCATTTGGGACAAGTTTCAACTCTCCTGAATCTGTGGAGATGAAAAAATCATTATTTATTTGGCCATTCAAAAATCAGCAATAGTGAACAATATTTTGGTACATGAATGATCATTTGTCCTTCATGTGTGCATCACAATCACCCTCCTGTACTGTAGAATTACACAATGTACAATAAATAACACCATCTGTCAAATAGTGCAACTAGTGAAAAGGGATAATAGAATGGATCAGTACTTGGCATTTCTGGAAAAGTCTCACTAACATGGTTTTTAGAGAAACTGAGCATAAGAAAAAAGTTGCCATTGAAACAGTTTACTATAGGTAATGATTCTTTGTTGACTTTTAGTGATATTAATAATGGTAAACTATTTCCTCCCTATATCAGTTTATATCTAGTTTTACCTGTGTTCTTGCATAAAACTGAGACTAATCCCTTATTCAACCAATTCCTGCTTATAAATTTCAGATTGCGCATTATTTTGACTACTAGAACTTGCAGATCCATCACAGTGCAATGATTCCTCACTTAGCAAATGTATTGCCTAATTAACAACCCACCTAACAAACCCCAAGAAAAAAATAACTTGCCCAGTGAACACTGCCTCACCTAGCAAACATTTGCTGACCCTACCCTTAGAACATTTTCCTGAAAAATTGTTGGATGCCATTCTCTGGGTATGACATTACTTTACAATATCAAGAGATCATCTATGCAGGAGAGTGCATGTATTCCATAAACTATGTGAATAAAATTGCCATTACTTTGTACCTTGTGCAAAAACAACATCCATATAAATTCCCAGGAAATGATTAATATTTTACATTGCTTGGATTTGTTGCTTATGCATAAAGTACACATGTTCAAGTTTGAAGGGCTATTTGAAAAAGAGAGCAAGTTAATTTTCTGAGTATGAGAATGTGAGCAAACTATATCAGTATTTTCAGGAATTTTTTCTCTGCTTAAAATTCAAATTTTCACAGTTGTCTTGTCAGGAAGAAATTAATATGGCTTACATTAATGATTAAGGGAAAACGTGACTTGCCTTATGATTACTCCACCTATACCAAACATTGTCCTGGAACATATTGGGGTTTGCTGGGTGAGACACCACTGTATACTGTATAGGCAATACAAATTAATTTTATTGATTGACTTTTTACTCAAAAATTTTAATCTAAAAAGGAATATTTTTCTCACAGTCAACAATAATAGTTCCTGTTGCAGTTCCTTTCCCTATGGTCCATGCATTAGTGAATCCAGCTGCTTGCATCAATTTGGCAAGTTTTTCAACTCTTATCTTGGGATAAGGCAGTGCCAATGTAGTGCCACCCAATGATTGACAAGCAGTGATGGACTCCTGTTGGTTGAGTCTAGAGGCAGGAGTCACAACTCTGTAGTACCTCCCATCTTCAGCTTGTGTGAAACCAGTTGGAATCTCTTCAGGTGCCGGCTGGACTGTGAGAATTCAAAATGTTAGAAAATTGATTTATTAGAGGTCTAGAATACAGAGAGACAGAGACAATCATTTTGAAAAATACCAGAGATGCCCTGATGATGATGAGTGAACTAGGTACTATCTGTAGTGTTTCTTGATGGTGACATTACTTGTGAACAATTATTTGATTTTGGCTAATGGAAGATGTTTAGTAATAGTTAGTACAGCGTTAAAAAATATTGAGAATATATTTAAAATACTTGATAAATCATTTGAGACTTCCAATTTTTCTGCTGGAATAAGTTGAGAGGAACTTTGAGCATAAATGTAACATAAATCCTCTTCTATATGTAATCCATACATGCAGCATCACATGAAAAATCCAGCATGAAAATGAGACTCTGCTTGGATGATTAGAAAAAAATCTTATGAAACGTTGACTCACAATAATAAAGCTTTGCTGATGCCTTCTCTGTCCAGTAGATGTCTCCCTTTTCAGGCAGTTTGCACAAAACCTGACCATCAGTCATTCGCTCTGTACTATAACCTTGACATTGGCCCAAGCTTTGTTGCTTGCAAATCCGCACACATTCTGATTCTGTGGGCACCACAGAGCTGAACCCTGGGTTCTGCAACTCAGCATTGGCCAAGAACTTGTAAGGGTTTTGATACAATAAGCATATCCCTGATATGAAATCATTACAGTGGTTGAAATTGTCCCAATTGAGAATTCCAGCAGGAGACATTCTGAGCATGTAACATCCATTGTTTTCAATGAAGGGGAAAGAATTGTTGATGAACCAGACCTGATCTGGGTCTGAAAGCGATGGTGTTATGCTTATTCCCACTATGGAATGCAACAGAGAAAAGAAAATCATGGTGTAATTAATTCGGTGTTCTCATGTAATAAATAATTCAAGTTGCTCATGTATTTACAGTGCTGGTTCCCTGCTTTGCAAGACTAATCTAATCATGGATGAGTGTTTACCTTAAAAGCATCATTTTATGGGTAAAACACTATATCTTCAGGTTTAATTGAAACAATGGTATATTCCATGCTAAAAACACTTTTACATTACCCACATGAACAAATGTCCTTTAGCAAGTTACAAACAAAAAATACTAGTTGCAATTTTTAAAAGAGAAGGTGAGAAAAATAACAAGAAAAAATATTCCTGCCATATTGTCCAATTTTACAAGAAAAAATGTTTATAAAAAGTGTTTGTATGCCAGAATTGGAAGTTATCTAGCCTTCTCATAAAATATTTCCTTTGTCTTGGCATACATTTCAGAAGTTAAAACGTAACTGATTATAATGTATGAGCTTCTCTGTCAGGAAAACCATTTTTTATGAGGATGACTTTGTCATGGGAGATTCTTTTCATGACGGGAAATGTTATGGGTAAATTTTGTTCTGAAGATGAGTCACTGGTCATGCAGAGATTAGCTGTATATAAATGAGAAGTATGGAGAATGAGCTTACAAGCAGGTATATAAAGTTTCCCATCTGCTGTCCCTGTGCCTGCAGCTGCAGCCCACCAACCAGATATTGTATGTGGGTACATCTTCAGGATCATGGCTTCCACAGCTGCTGCTTTCTTGCGGGGATACAGTGGTGCAATGACTCCATTTAAAAACTCACATTTTTTTATGTTATGGTTCAGTGTGAGAAGATCTTGATAAGCTTGAGATACTTTATAAAAATTTCCATCTTTAGCCAAGTATACTTCACTGATGTTCAGCAGTGGAGGTTCTGAAAAAAAGAAGCCCACAATATATTCTGATGGAGATAATGGTAGAAATGGTTTCTAATCATGCAATATATATACAAAAGGCGGGTAAAATGGCACTCAAACTGTAAATTATCAATATGCATGAACCTAATTATACAGAAATTCTCAGCTGCAGTCTAGTCACAAGGTTTTTAGAAAATTCATAAACAAGTTTTAAAAATATTTGTGTGGGTTCCTAAAGACTCTCTCATAAGAAGATTCCTTGGTATTCAATATTCTCCCTTGCATCATCTTGAAACAGATCAGGGAGATTATGAACATGCAGAACAACAAACAAACAAGTATACTTGTATTTTTACCTGAATACACAGTAATATACAATATTTCTAACTACTGCATATCACCAACTCTCCTAATTTAAATCAGTCTAAAATTAATTTTGTTCTAATGTCCATCTATAGGCTACTAAAATGTGGGATTTTTTGCTAAACTTTTTGATTCAGCGCATTTTTACAAATTGTGAGAGTACTTTTTCAGATTCTTGGTTATTTTTGCTGCATGAGGAAGACCTCATTTCTATATTTGTAACCAGCAATATATCCTTGAAGCCAAACAGAATCTCTGATCTAATTGTCTCTTCAAATTATCCATTTTCACAGAGGTGTTCAATACTTGAGGTTTTCAGTTTTGGACATTTCTTGTTTAAAAACTCCCTGTATTCCAGAAGAATAATCAGAACACATCTTCACAGTTGGAAGACTATAAAGGTGGTCATTTTCTCACCAAAATACAATGCTGTTTGGTTGTTTTCTTCCCAGAAGGTATCCTTTGGATCAGGTATCCTGCACATCAATCCCCTATCATCCAGCCCTAGACTACGGGTAATGCTGAAGGAATTGCAAAATTCCGTTTGCCTGCATTCAGCTTCACAGGCTCCAGCAGAATCAACCCAAAGGTCCTTGTAAGATTGGATGAATTGTCCAGTTTGGTTTTGTTGTTTGAATGTGCTCAGGTGATCTTGGGATTCAAGTGAAACTTTATTATATTTTCAAAAGTATTTTTCCTTTTCCCTTGAGAGGACAGTTGCAAAAAATTGAGACTTCTAAAATGGTGTATGATTTTATTGGAAATGTTTGCAATAATGGTGGGAACTTCTGGGAAGTCATGTACATATAGAGACAGTCCATATAGATTATTTGTTTTTGGCTTTTGATATGATTTCACAAATCTGCATCCTCCCACAATGATTAAATTAAATGGCATTCAACTTTTAAGTAATTTAATCTTGTTTTTTTCATATTTTCTTTGCATCTTTAAACGCATTTACGGATTCTATGCACCATTCAATATTGCTCTACATCAGTATATTTGGAAAAGCAGCAGCTAAAAGAAAATACATGTTGGCATACAAAACATACTTTCATTGCCTGGAATAACCATATATATAATTTTGATTTTTTGAAGCAGAGATTATTTTGCTCACATCTTGATGGCAGGTACAATGATCCGCTGAAGTTTACATTTAGGTTGGTGCTGATGGTCCAAGAATCATTTGATATTGTGCTATGCATGTAACAGGCTGATGCATTATCTGCAGATGTAGATGCAATTAAATATGTATTTTTTCAAATAAACAAAGTATTCAGGCATGCATGCTTACACTTCTTCAGTATTCCAAAATAATTCATGTTCAGATTATTAAGATGAACTGATGCATTTCTTATATGTATAGACTTAAAATAAATGTATCTTCAACATATGTGCTGGTATATTTCTCTCATTCCAAAAGCCAAGGTCTTTTCATAAAAAAGTATAGGTGAACATCTTCCTAACCTTGATGAACAGGGAAACCTTGAATCCACAAACATTTTCCTATTCCCAAGGATGTTGTTAGCCTTCATTTTTGGTCTGGATAAATCCCCAGGTTTTCCCAGATATGCTTCAGATTAATTTTTTGGATAAATCACTAACCCTCTAAATATTATTGCCTACTATTGCGGCGCTCTTTGGCAGCTGTTTTGTCTCACAAACCAGATACTGTACATGAATAGGTTGCCTTTACTTTTCAACTGATGCAAGAACAGTTCTATAAACTACAATTTTTTACAATTTTTATGGATTTATTGTTTCTTCCTGAATTTTGTGTGATCCTTCTATCTCACACCACTACCTTCAATAAATTGCTGTCCTATATAAACTGAAAGATCAAGTTACACAAAAACTAGTGGGTACAGGCGGTACCTTGCAATTTGACCCTAATCCATTCCTGGACTATGGTTGAATTGCAAAGCAGTCAAATTGCCACATAACATCAAATTGCATGTTTTCTACATGGCAATTGATGTTTCATGTCTCTCCACAGGTTGAATTGCATGGCAGAGGTCAAATTTAGAGCTGACCTCCCAGAAAATTTGACCATCAAATTGTGGGATGGTCAAATTGTAAGGTATCACCTGTACCCAGGTTTCATTTCTTTTGATGCAAAATCTTGTTACAACAAAGTGCTTGTGACTAAAGCAAAACATCTTTGTTGGACTTTTTTATAAAGTAACTCATTTGTTGTACAGTACAGGAATGTGGTACTTGGGGAAAGGCTTGAGCATGACTGTTTTTAGCAATTATTTGTTATAACAAGGTTTATTGTGATGAGATTCTACTGTACTGTATACTGTATATTAGCAAGGAGTTAAAATGAACTTAGTCTATAAGAGTGTCATCTGTATTACCTTGATAGTAAATTGCAGCACAAAAATGTTTCTGTAAACACATGGCTGCGCATTCAATTTTTGATCCAAACATCAACAGGGTTGCCCTTGGGCTCAGCATCATGACATCAGGCCCAGGTACTGCAGTAAACAATAAGTTCCCAATGCATTCCAGCATCTCAACAGTAAGGAGCATGAATATAAAAACAAAAATCACATTTGCCATGTGCATCATTATGCACCTGAAATATAAAAATAAAAATATGAAAAGTACACATAGTTTGTTCAAAATTTCATGTGAAATTTTATTCTTGCAAATTATACCACCAAAAAAAGCCTGAAGAATGCCACAAGCTCACATAATATGATATTAAATTTTACTGGATTCCCTTCACCAATGTAATCTGTTACTTTGCTTTGAAGAAAATTGCTCAGAGAGAAAATTTCTGCCTTTTAGAAATAAATGCTTATGAAACGAAACCAGTTCTGTTGCCTTCATATTACTTGACACGACACACTGTTCTCTGCTAAACTGCCTTTGCTCAGTGTCGACTTTTATAATTTCAAGATCTGATTAAGAATTCATGCATTTCTTCATCACCATGACCATGAAAAATGACGCAAAAGTATAAAAGTAATTTTTTGGCTTGATTAAAATATGTTTTATTCATTTTAATCACTTTTTTCTATATGACCGACTGTAACAATACTGGTTTTTTTTTCATGGAAAGCTTTGTTGGCGAACATTATTGTAGAGTACTGATTACTCGTTCTCAATTTTTTCTGGGCAAAACTATTTGTATAATTTTTTAAATTAGTAGATCTGTTTTGAGCGACGCTTCAATTTTGCAGCCCAATCGCAAAGAAGATTAAAATTCACATTTAGATCCGCGTCATAAGGGGAACATTTTCGTAGCTCTTGTCAAAAGTTTTCCGTTTCCAGAGGGAGCTTTCAAAAGTTCTTCCATCCTTTTCTATACATTGCCAAGCAAAATATGTAGTGAAAATATGAAAAGAGCACTTGGAAAAAAAAAGTTTAGTACAGCAATGTGGATTTCGTGCTACATTGTGGACTCTATTGATTTATGAGTG